TCATTTGCATCCCATTCGCATTATTCGTGATTTCTTCAAAGGATAGTTATTGGGCTTCACAATTAATGTGATTGGCACCACTCAACCTTTGAAGAGAAATTTTCCCCATGTCCCCTAGGTCTAGGGTTTGCATTCATGTAGTACATCCAAACGTAATAAATTCTTTGGTTAAAATAAGAAAATCTTTGATTAAATCACGCAACTAGCCTTGGCTAGGTCGAAGGGGTGCCTTGGATTTTTATCCTTGCCTTCCCCTTCGTCAAATGTGACTCCCGAACCTTCTTCGCTGGTTTACGTGGATTAGGAGTCGTTTAAAAGGGGTTTCTTACTACTTTTCCTATTTTTTCTTTAAAAATTCATTTTTAGGTGACTTGGTACACCTTAACTCATTACCAAGTGGCGACTCCAATTTTTTTAAAACCCTTTTTAAACTATAATTTTGGGTCAAATCGTCGCATTCTCAAACCCCCATTTAGACCCACTTTTCTTTTAAATCACAATTCATTGTCCAATCACAAATTGAATCAAAAAATACATTTTTAAACCATTTATTTATTTATCAAAAAATGGGGCGCGACAATTCCCGTTCCCTAACATGTTCAACTTCAATCCCAACATAAGGATCTTTTGGGCTACGATCTTCTCCGCGTCCCACTCTTAATTATTGTACTGTCATAGTCAAACAATTATTGGTTTCCTGTAACTATTCACGTAAAATATCGATTCATTCTTATTCCCAACAAATGGAGATCTCAAGTCCTTAAGATTGCCCTCAACTCTCAAGTACTCGGGTACAAGAATCCGGAACAAGGTAATTCACAACTCGAGCTGGCCAGTCCCAAGAGTGAATCACCACATTCGAGATTCCTACCCAACATACATATCAAATTTCCTCAAATATTAAGATAAAGGGTTTATACCTATCACATTCATGAGTTACAGCTCACATTTCCAGAAGAGCACTTAAGCCTTTACTCATTCGCATAATAAATACCATAACACCACTTGGTCCAATCTTACCCCGGGCACAGACTACGCGAAGCAGCTCTGATTTTCATCCTTGCAAGTAGTCGCTTAACTTTCAAACCAATCCCACAGTCCGGCATCCTAAACTTGTAAGCCTAAGATACACTACAAAGATCTGATGTCTGAGCTCTGATACCAACTGTGACGCCCCCACTTCTCCCTAAGGCGAACCAAAGGGTATCCGCAGGACGCCTGCCCAGCTCTCACCATGACTCATTACAATCCTTAATTCAAAAGTTCTGAATACGTCAAATAACTTCAATACATAATAAAAGTACTCCAAAATATCTCACACTTATAATTAATCAGCTCTCAAGCTTAATACAACTCAAAAGAATATTTACTACAGCCATCTACTGTAATACAATTTAAAGTCTTGAAAGGAAAGCAATCTAGTACTATTCACGAGTACTCTTGGTTTCGAACCCTGTTAAAGAAATCCAAAATATGGGATGAGCTACACAACCCAGTGAGGTTCCAAGACACTCTAACAGTTCTAATAAATCAAGTAATTGAGCATACTGCATGTATGATTCAGGGTTACACGTTGACATATGAATGTGAGACAATTATCATTCTACGAGTAATTTGAGCATATCACAAGTATAGCACATTTGCATGAAACGGTTATCATTATACAAAATAAACACACATTTAAAGGATACGGTATTCCAGTGGAACCATTTCGGTCATCTGCACCTTATGACTTCCGATCCCCACGGTACGGTCTGGCCATCGCCTTATGTCTCCAGTGGTAATACTTGAGTATACCGAAACGGTGGCTCAGGGTTCCAACCTACCCGACCGAGACCAGTCCTAACTCAAGTAGGTCAGTAACCAAGGGTAGGGCCCAAGTTCAGTTTAGAGCTTACAACATGCACAAGTAATCAAATAACCTGACGAACGGTAAAAATTATTCTTTTGATAGGTCGAGTGAGATAAAGTACACACTCGCCTTAAAATGGTGGATAATTTCATATGAACAATTACTAGTAATAATTAACACATAAACACGTAAGCAATATTTGATAATTTCATGTGAACATGTAATTTACGGTAATTAAATAATCAAGTACCAGGTAATCAAGTAGATAGGAAAACGGTAAGTAATTACGGTAAACGGTTAACGGTTAACGGTTAACGGTTAATGGTTGACGGTTAATGGTTAACGGTAGTAATCACGGTTAATTGGTAGACATTAGTCATTTTAATAGGCCGCCATTGGCCGTTTCTCCCTTTTACCATTTAAGAGTTGAGGAGATTCACTCTAATCGACTTATGCGGCCATAGCATATTTAATCATTTAAACACATTACATTAATATGCAAATCAAGTATTTCATGTCGAGTAATTCAAGTATACCTTACTTAAATACACATGAGTGTGGTAAATACTTAACATGTAGCACTTAACACTTAATGATCATGGAATAAACATTTCATAGACTTATTCAAATTACGTACTCCTATATGGAACACTCACCTATTCAATACAAAAGAGTAAAGTACAATCGGGTGTCTAGACGTCTCCTGTGAGATCCTCTTGAAGGTCTCCTTGAGTGCCTGAGCAAATAATAACTAACTATCACACACTATTACTTAAAACTCCTAATTATCAAGGAAAGTTGTACTAGTGTACCATTTAAGGAGAATTCATTAATTGAGCCTTAATTATTCATAATCGAGGCTCGGAAGTGGGTTTCAAAAACACAAGAGAAATATGATTTTCACCTTTGAAATCAAGTGTAAAACGGTCTAACAATATCGGAGGAAAATGGAGAGCTTGAAACCCTCAATTTCCTTTAAGTTCGGAAATTTCAGATTCGGCAAGCAAACTTTGAAAAATCAGATCTCATTCTTTATGAGTCCAAAATTGGAAAACTTAGTACCGTTGGAAACTACTTCCGAAGTACTAAAAGTTTCTAGAAGACAGTTTTCCATGATTCCAAATGGATGACATTTAAAATTTGGCTCAAAGTTAATGACTTGAGTTATCAAGACAGATTTGGGTTGGTTTTTGGCAAAGTTTGGAAATTTGGTAAAATTCACACGTTCTAAACTAGCCTCTAAAATTTGGAAATCTATTAGAGTTGCAATCCAAGTTTAAAACACAAAAAGTGGAACAAGAATTGGAGTTTTCAGCACCAAGATATAGTAGCTCAAATTTGCTGAAAAATCGAAACTTTTAGGAAATTTCCAGGTTCAAATCACAAACTTTTGGTCGTTGGTTAAGCATTGAAATGGACTCGGAATGGCACTAAATTTGACAATATTACACTACCATGTAAGGGCTATTCCTCTGTAAAATTTCATGGAAAAATACGTACGGGAAGTCGGTTAACAAAGTCACGAAAGTTTCTAAATTTTCAAGGCAAAGCTGCCTTGTGCTACCATTTCCCTTTTCTAAAACATTTGGCCAATAAAAACATCTCAAATATGGTTCATTTGTGTAGAAAAAGTCTAGGAAACATCCAAAATACACTTGGTAGGTGATTAACACCAAGAATTTCAAAACAACAAGTCCCAATCAAGATTTAGGCATTTACTAGTCAAAAGAGGATTTTTACTCACTGCATCAGTTTCAAAATATGGCCACAACTCATTCAATTCAACTTGGAATTGAGCATGATTGATGGCGTTGAAAACTATATTCATAAATCTACAATTTATCAGAAGAAATCATTTTCAAAATCTGTCCACGACTAGCTCATATTTGAGCATCAATTTGCTGCTCAAAACAGAGCTTCCAGTGAACTAGCGAAACAGGACAGTCAAGTTCAAATGATTGGTACGGTTTACTCTGGTGGAATCAGGATGTGAATTTTATACCAATGGAAAGATGGAAATGTCTAATTTCCAGTGCCATAAACGGTACTCGATTTCGACATCAAAGTAAAAGTTATAGCCGAAACAACAGGACTGCCTGGGCAATCCGTGAAAATTTTCCAGTTCTGCCATACTTTGGAAATCAACACATTTGATCAACCAAATCATGTTATTTTTCAATGAGACTTTCTACACAACTCATATAACATGTATACATCATAAAAAAGTCATTAGAACCTCAAAAACTTGCACTAAAGTGCACGAAATTCATAAGGGCAGAATCGGAATATTTTTGCTCTTGACCTCCTTTGAGTTTCCTTTCATCAATACAACTTATTTCCGCTAATTTAAGTACTAAACCAACATTAATAACATCAAAACTCATGAAATCAGTCTTCAAGTCATTGTGGGAGTTCATAGAGCCCACACACCAAAATCCAACATAAATAAAGCTACTCATATGGAAATACAAGCTTATAAGTGCAATACTACTTCTATAAACTAAGATTCAAGGGGTTGATCGTTATTACATCCTTAGATGATCAAGATCGGAAATTTTTGGTCACTTTAAGCCCCAAGAGAAACCGTGGAAATGAAGCTTTCTTCCTAGCTTAAGTGAATCTCGAAGTTGTTTGCAAGTTGTAGTTAAATTTTGGAGTTATTTGGGTGAGAAATGAGGGAGTTGTTGAAGAAGAATTTTGGTTGTCTTCTTCTTTGGGGTGATGCACGGCTGGTAGAGGAGAAAAGAAAGGTTGTTGCAGCTACAAAAGCTTTTTGAGGAAGCTTAAGAATGTGTGGCTAAGAATTCTCCAAAAGTCAACCAAGACTAGTGCGCGTACGGGCGCATTTCGTGCTCGTTTCCTCTCGGGTTTGTTTCACTAGTGCACTAAACCTCCAATGTACTTGTATTCATACTATTATTATTCACTCTTAATAGTCTAGAATAAATTCCTTAATTCTCCAATTAACCGCTCCGACTCGATATACGCGAATTTTCAATTTTTATGCGCTACGGCGAAACCTCTAACAAATTCTTATAACGATAGTACTACTACTAATATATATTTTTTTTATCAAAGGGTCAACCTGCCCTGAATTTTATTCAATCATGCAACGATACTCTAAAAGGAAATAATAAAAACCCAAAAATCAAGCCCTAAGTTGCAGCTCCCGCACCCGAGGATCTCCTAAGCGGTCCAGACGTGCCTCACCTCTGGCCCTGCAGGGTAAGGACTCAATCGAGGAGTAGCAGCAATGCCCCCCTACCTGCAAGGATGCCAGGGCATCTGCCACCGAGTTGGCCTCACGAAACAGATGCTGAAGAGGAGCCCTCATCTGATGGAGGAGATGTCTGATGTCCTGCAGTACAGTACATACCGGCCATTTTGAGACGGCTTCCGAATTCACTAGTTGGACAAGCACCTTCGAATCTGATTCAACAGTCAAAGCTCCCGTCTCCCGTTCTGCGCACATTTGTAGACCTTCTAGGAGAGCTTGCGCCTCCGCCTCCAGCACTCCCAAATCCCCAAACTCTTTGTAATAAGCCGAGATCACCCTCCCGTCATGATCACGCAGCACCCCTCCCCCTGCTGCTTTGCCGATGAGGACACTAGCATCAGTGTTAAGCTTTAGATGCCCCGGCGATGGCTTTTCCCAAGAGACCGGCACCACGGCCTTAGGCTGTCCATAGCTGTTGCCAAAGGCCGCCCAGGGACAATCCCGGTCGCCTGAAAAAGAGGCCAAAGAGAAATCGTGAGCCTTACCCATCCGGCCCAACAACTCTTCGATCTGAAAAATCACTTGAGACGAAGTGATCAGACATGCATCAAATCTAGCTTTGTTTCTGCTCTTCCAAATAAACTGAAAAACCAACAGCGGAACAAGAACCCGCACATGAGTGGACGAAACCTGTGAGTGTGAGAAGAACCAGTGGAACAGCATAGCGGCAACACTGACCGCGGTGAAGGGGAGAAGCCCAAACACCTTGAAAAAGTATTCCCACACTTCCCCAGCCACCGCGTCGTGCAGGAAAAGGTGATTGATAGTTTCTGGGCCTTGCTGGCAACAACTGCATCTAGAACATAGTGCTACCCCCTTATCCTGCAGCAAGCTATCGAGGGGTATCCAGTTGCGCAACAGCCTCCATACAAAGAAGGATACTCTTAGAGGCACGATGGAACCCCAGACCCAACAATCGATCCACGAAATATTACGCTTTTGGCGGATGTCCCCCCACACTGAGGCTACGGAGAAGTTGCCATTGGTTGAGGGTGTCTAAACCATAACGTCATCTCGATCAAGTGAGAAATGAATGCTAGTGATCTGCTGAACCAAGAAATCGAGGACCCACTCCTTAAGCCGAGGCACATTCCATCCATGAGGCGTGAAGAACTCCGCCACCAGGGAATGCGGGGGATTCGACACCCCCATCACCTGCTCCAGAGGGCGATCTCCGCACCAGATGTCATACCAGAAGTCGACCATTCCCTTCCCTAGACACCACCTGATCCTAGCCTCCGCAAAGTCTCGAACTGATAGCAGACGACGCCAAGACGTCGGCGGGTGCTGCACCGTAGCGCGCGACGGGTGCATGTCCTTGATGTATTTGTTATGCATTTAGCACGCCCATATCGAGTCCTTCCGCCGCAGCCGCCACCATGACTTACATGCAAACGCCATAGCCTAGTCAGAAAAAGAGCGGAACCCCAGACCCCCTTCCTGGATCAAAAAACAGAGCTTCTCCCATACCGCCCAGTGTATCCGCTTTGAGTCTACGCTTGCGTCCCATAGGAAGGAGTTGCAGATCCTGCCGAGGGCCGTCACAACAGATTTGGGGGGGCAAATTGCCTGTAACAGATATAGGGGAATCGAGCCAAGCACATGCCGTACAAGGACGATCTTCCCTCCAGTACTCAGGAGTTTCGAGCTCCAATAGAAGAGCCGAGCCCGCATTTTAGCCAAAAGGAGGTCAAAGACTACCGTGCCCAATCTTCCACGAACTAGAGGCACACCAAGATATTTAACCGGAAAGGTCTGCCTGGGGAAGCCCAGAGACATCTCTGCTAACCTAATTTGATCCTCAGTTGCACGGGGGGACGGGAGTAGAGCGCTCTTCCCTGTATTGACCTTTTGACCAGAACGTGCTTGATACAGAAGGAGAAAATCCCGAAGAGCCTTCAGGGACGGTTCCGAGCATCGAGTAAAGATAATCGTATCATCGGCAGATGCAAGATAGGGCACGGTACCGCCGGCCGAGACATAGCAACTATCCTTGTTGTTGAGACTTAGCTACTGGAGACCCAGACCCATAAACTCCGCTACAAACAAGAAGAGGGCAGGGGACAAAGGATCCCCTTGATGCACTCCCCTACTAGACTTAAAGAAACCTGCGGGTTGGCCATTGATTAGAACTGAAAACCACGAGTTGGAGAATGTCCTGAAGAGGAGGTCTATAGTAGCCTCTGAAAATCCAAAACTCCGCAGCATAAATAGCAGGAAAGGCCACTCTACTCTATCATAGGCTTTTTCCATGTCTAACTTGAGCACCAAATTGGGATGAGCCAATTTTCGATCCAATTCTAACACCAGCTCTTGAGCCAATAGAATATTATCCATTATGCCCCTCCCAGGGACGAAACCCGTCTGCCATGGCGAAATGAGTTTAGGCAGCAAAATCCCTAGCTGATTAGCCAGAATCTTTGATATGATCTTCGATCTCGTATTACACAGGCTAATGGGCCTGAAGTCCTTCCACTGAAAAGCCCCCTCCGTCTTTGGGATCAGTACCAGTAACGCACTGGAGAAACCCCTGGGCTGCTCGATCCCCTTAAAAAAGTCCTGAACAGCCCTCAACAAGTCCTCTTTGATGATCTTCCAGCAATGTTGATAGAATCCCGCCCCGAATCCATCCGGCCCCAGCGCACTATTAGTCTCCATTGAAAACACCACGGCACGCAGCTCCTCCAGCTCCGGTAGTCGCCGTAGCATGTCATCCTCCTCCCGTTCTAATCTGGGCAATTCTGAAGGCAACACAGGCTGGGAAACATCCCCACTCGAACGAAATAGACCTGAGAAAAACCGCACTGCGGAAGCCTGAATGTCCACCGTGTCCTGCATCCAACCCAACGCTTCATCTTTAACCCGCGAAATATAGTTGGAGCTCCTCCGCTGCTTTGCTACTAAATGGAAGAAAGAGGTGTTCGCAACCCCTTCCTTGATCCACTGAAGCGCCGCCTTTTGTCGCCAGTACTCGCATTCAATTGCCAACTCTCGTAGATACATGGCCCTTGCCTCATGATGCCGAATCTTCGAGAGGTCGTCTCCCCTTGAATCGAATTCTGCCTCCCGTTGCTTGTATACTTCCTCCGCCGATTTGACGCGAGCAAAGATATTCCCAAACTCCTCCTTGCTCCATTTCCGCAATTGGAGCCGAAGGGCTATCAATTTGGAGTAAAACAAGTTCATCCCACCCCTGAGCCCGAATGTTGCCATGTCGTGGCTACCGTCTCCAAGAAATTGGGGTGACGATGCCACACATTAAGATATCTGAAGGACGGTGGAACAGGAGACCCCGATCCTGCTTTGATCAAGAGCGGCGCATGATCTGACCGGCCGCGAGGAAGGTGAGAAACTCTTGTGACTGAGTATTCTGCCGCCCATCTGGAGTTGATGAGAGCCCTATCCAAACACTGCCACACTTTACCATTCGTCCAGGTAAATGGAAAACCATCGAAGTCCACCGGGGAAAGCCCACACGTGAACATGGAGGAATTGAACTCCTCCATGGTAGAGACATTAGCCGGTCTCCCCCCTCTGCGCTCCTCCGTGGACGCGATCACATTAAAGTCCCCAGCTACGATCCACGGCTCCATCACCCCACACTGAAACCCTATAAGCAATTCCACAGAGGGCGTCTACCAACTCTCGTGCACTTAGCATAGACCGTCGAAATATTGACCACCTCACCTAAGGGAAACATGAGCCTGGCATGCACAACCTGATCCTCCCTCTCCAAGAAAGAGAGCTTGAAGGATCTACTCCAAAGACACCATATCTTCCCATTCAAGAAAGACGACCCGTGATCAAGTTTTAACCGCCTCCGGACCACATCAAGTTGATCAACCCCAGACATGGGTTCCAGAAGGAAAACTGGGGAAATCTTATTATCTAGGCAGAGTTTACATAAATACTTAATGGAGTCCGGACGCAAAGCACCCCGTAAGTTCCATACTAAAAAATTAATTGGATTTAACATGGGAACGTAAGAGATACTTAGCTGGTGACAGGGAAGGCGCTTGAGCGCGCTTGCCCTTCGGCTTGCCCCCCTTCCTCTTGAGCTCCTCCCCCTGCTTTGCATCCAAATCCCGGGTAACTGCCTCTTCATCACCTCCAGGCGGCCCCTCTGGGCATCCTGTGTCACACTCCTGAAAAAATTGATGCAGCTCCACCAGAGATGTTTGCAGCTCACGTGAGTTCCTAGCAGACAGCCTTCGCCTCCTTGCTTGCTCCTGCTGCCGACAAGGAAGCTCTGGAGCCGAGGAGGCGCGAGCAACCTCCAATGTCGACGAATCCTCGAGTGACTCCCCCAACGAGTGGAGGACTTTCAAAACGACTGCCTTGAGTAACCTTCTCCTCTTCAAATCCTGCCTACACCGCAGTAGCCGGAGGCAGACAGGCCAACTCCACCTCCGCCTCTTGGGTAGCGACCTGCCGCAGCAGAGAAACGTGGGCTGGGAGACCAACCATCACTTCCACCGGATGTGCTAGCACCGCAACTGTTGTTGCGTCTTCATGCCCAGCAGCACATTCTGGGGTAGCCGGGGTACCTTCGGCCAAAGGAGCCAATGTAGAGGGATCTGGTTTGCTCCTTCAACCTATAAGTCTCCAATTTTTCAAACTCACTGTATCCCCAAATCGATCACTGTCTCGAAAATGCGTATTCACTATTCTCAATAAACGAACTTCCAAAAATTAATTTCCATAACAATTTATTTTTAAAATACATGAAAGTCATAGTTCCATGTAATTGGGTCTAAAAAGGTTAGAAAATAATATTTGGGGCAAACAGGTAATTAAATATTTAAATAAGCTTGTACCAGGAGTTTAAAATAAATAAATTCTTTTCGTGTCCTCACGACTTTTCTTAATCTACTATTGATTATTCTTATTTTTTTTTCAAAATTAATACACTCTCAATTCAAATATAGTCTTGAAAAATGTGTACTCGTTGTTCTGAACTAAACGAGTTTTCGAAAAGTAACTTTTCCAACAAAACGCTTTAAAAACATAAGAGAGGCATTTTTCCATATAAATGGATTTTAAATAGTCAAATTAAATAATTAATTAAGCCAGTAAAATAAAATAAAATAAAGAAAATTTCGTGTCTTCACAAATTTCATGATGGATTCTGAAACTTCATATTTGCGCACTTCAATCGCATCAATAAGGGAGTATTCCTTTCTTTAGCTTGATTTTCCTTTTTATATATTGAGAATAATGTATATTTAAGTGTTGGGAGGGGGAGAATTGAGATTATATGCATTGTATATGATTGATTTGTTGGTTAAAAATATTGTACTTGTGTTTGGAAATGTTATCGTGTTTAGAAATTTTTTAAATTTGGATTTGTTGGCAAGGAGTTTTATCCATTTATAAGAGGAAACTTTGCAAAAAAGTTTTCAAAATCTTGTCCAAAATTATAAAATTGCTCCAAAATGTTCCAAAATTTTTTAATTTTATCCAAGGGTAATAAGTTCCATACCATTAATAATTCAAATTCCTTTTATGTTTGAGATAAATATATGTGACTTGAAAATTTCTTTTCTCATTCAACTTGGAAATGACTATTATGTAATTATAATTTGTACATTTTAGGAAAGTATATCTCAAAAAGTAGAGAAAACTATGCCTAAATTTTGCATATTTGATAAAATTTCTTCTCTTTACTTGATTTAATAAATTAAGTGATAAATATGGTAAATAATTGTAATACTCTTCTCATGATTATTCTTTTGAAGGAATAATTATTATCTTTACTTTGACAAAAAAGAAAAGAAGAAAAAAAGTAGAAAAAAGAAGAGAGAAAAAGAATAAGAGAATAAGATTTGTTCTACTTCAATAGTTCTTGTACTTAGTAACAGAGAGTCTTCATCTACAAATGTTGACTTTTGCGTGAAACGGTACTAAAATTAAGAGTATACAAAGCGATTTGAGAATGTGAAGTGTTCAATAACCGGCGATTTTTATCTAAAAATGTCGATTTTAGCGTCAAAAGACAATTTCACAACTTGAGTAATATTAAGCTATATTATATGAATAAAATCCCTTGAACTTGAGAAGAGAGATGATCATGAGTTTTGGAAGTATTTTTATTGACCATATGAGTTACTTGCTAATAAAATTAGGAAAGAATGAGAAATTGAGTTGAATTAGTTAAAATTATAATATAATTGACTCTCATTTACTTGATATTATGAGTTATTGAATTAATGAACAACATATATTCCCCCACCTAGGGTACCCTTTGGGCATATAGGGTTGCCGCCACCTAGGTTCACTTTTTTGGGTGTTCATGGCTGCCCTCCAACCTTCTG